ATAAAGGCATGGTTTGTGAAGCAATTTCCTCCAAGGTAAAATATTCGATCTTGGAGAGAAGTTCATTAAGAGAGAGGATGTAAGCCAGGCGGTGTGGCGCACACCTTTAACCCCAGCACTCAGGAGGCAGAGAGAGGCGGATCTCTGTGAGATCGAAGCCAGCCTGGTCTACAAAAGTGAGTTCCAAGACAGGCTCCAAAGCTACAGAGAAACTCTGTCTTGAAAAACCAAAAAACAAAACAAAAAAAAAAAGAGTGAAGATGTTCCAAAGGGGCATGAAGCATTCTAATAAAGCATTCTATCCTGCAGGGAAGCTGGTTAAGACCAAATAAGTAAACAGTTCCAAATTTTTGGGAAGTCCATGAATCTGAACAGATGCACTAGGCCCCCACTTCCCCAAGCATATATGAGCAGCAAGGACTGCTGGAATGCTCTCAGACCAGAAGAGCTTCCTGGAAGTGACACTCTCTAAACTATGGAGCTGCCTTCAAGTTGTGCAGTGTATTTCAGATTCCCAGCTTTAGTGAGTTATCATCCATGGATGGGCTTTTGGTGATACAGCAGCCTTCATGTCACCTCTTTGCTGTAACTCTGATACAATTCATTGGTTCACCATGTTGAACTTAGGAGGTATCCTTAGTTTGATCTGTTGTTGGTTCCCTGTGTGGCATAAGTGGGTATTTGTCCAATTTTCTCTAGGAAAAGTGTCATACAACAACATACCCATGATCCCTCCTGTAAGAGTTAATGCAAAAAGCCTGTCAATCACTTGGAAAAGATAAAGTCCCTTAGGATAAGCTGTTTGTTCTAGGTACATAGACATAGTGTAAAGACATTGTTCACTTTCACCTGCTGAGATTCCACTCTCTTCTGCAATGTCCCCTTTGGCCTTTGGCCATCTTTACCTCTTGATACTGGACTTTGCTCTACAATGGCCCCTTTGGCAACTGTCTACTTTCACCCTTTTGAGAATGCCCTCTGCTCTGCAATGATTTCTTTAGCCACCTGCTCTGATCCTTTGGGAGGTATTTCTACAGTGTAATAAACTGCCCATCTTCTACACTGTACTCTGTCAATCTCGTCTGAATTCTTTCAACAGTGATCACAAGGACCAAGGAGCTAAGGGGCATTCAGAGAGAGAGATACTGCTGACATTGTTGAGATCTGGTTTTGCAGTAATAGTGAATATAATTTGTAGGGTTTTGATTTTTTAAAATCTATTTCACCGTTGTGTCTAAAGTGAGTTTCTTATTTTTCCCACCAAAATGGAAACTATGTGAAGTGATACATATGTTAATTAGCTTGATTACATTATTCCACTATGCATATGTATATCAAAACATTGCATTAAGGTCTGGCTATGGTTCAGTGATAGACAAATCCCTTAGCATTGATGAGGCCCTGGGTTCCATCCTTAGTAGTATAAAAGAAATTGAACACCACACTAAATATTTACAACTTTTATTTGTCAATTATATCTCAATACATGTGTTATGGTATATCTGTTTTCTTTTCTTATAATTTATCTTATTTTTTTTAAAAAGAAAGCAAGTTATCTTTTTTTTTTCATTTTACATATCAATCCCAGTTCCCACTCTCTCCCCTCCTCCCATTCCTTCCACCTTACTCCCACTCCAACCCCATCCACTCCTCAGAGAGGGTAAGGCACATTGCTTTGGGGAAGGTCCAAGGCTCTCCCTAATATATCTAGGCTGAGTAAGGTATCCATCCAAAGAGAATGAATTCCCAAAAAGCCAGTACAAACAGTAGGGATAAATCCTGGTGCCACTGCCAGTGGTCCCACAGTCTGCCCCAGCCATATAACTGTCACCCACATTCAGAGGGTCTAGTTTAGTGCTATGTTGGTTCCTTCTGTGTCTGACTGAAGTTGGTGAGCTTCCATTAGCTCAGGTAAACTGCTTCAGTGGGTGTCCCCATTATGGTCTTGACCTCTTTGCTCATATTCTCATTCCTCCTACTCTTCAACTGGACTTTGGGAGCTCAGCTCACAGCCCCACTGTGGGTCTCTGCCTCTGTTTCTGTCAGTTGCTCGATGAAGGTTCTATGGTGACATTTAACATATTCATCAGTCTGACTACAGGGCAAGGCCAGATCCTAGAGAAGCTAAGTAACAAGGTGAACCCTAAGAAAAATACACATAAATCAACCTGCAAAGGAGAAATAGATAAGACTGCCTGACAAAATTGGGAGCATGAGGGTGGGGGGAGAAGAGAAAGCAGAAAAGGAAGAGGAGGGGAGAAGGGGAGGGGAGGAGAACTTGAGGGAAAAGGATACATGAGATGGAGGAAGGACAGAGACGAGATCAAGGAAAGAGATATTTTGGTTGAGGGAGCCATTATGGGCCTAGCAAGAAACCTGGCCCTAGAGAATTTCCCAAGAATCCACAAGGATGACCCCAGTTAATCCCCTAAGCAATAGAGGAGAGGGTACAGCTGTTTTCTACAAGTACAACATGACTATCACCTTCATAAAGCCTAGATTGTTGTGACGACCTATCGAATACTTTAACTCCACAGTCATAGTAATAAAATAATCAAACTAACATATTAATAGCTAGGTTAACAATAATTATAATTGTATTGTTAGCATTAACTCTTAGAAGGAAGGTAACTACACCTTAACCCACTATTCCATACCTCTTGCCTATATGTGGTCTTGGGAAGTTCTAGAGAATATAGGAAGGGGAAGGATGACTAAAGGCAAAACTCCAGTTATGAAGCATCTGTGAGTGGTCACACATGCTAGAGTGGATTCTTCAGTGAAATCAGCTGCACAAATAACCCATGCAGTGGTGACTCATGTTGGGATTGGACTTTGTTGATGATGCAGCTGCCCAATCACCCATGTTCCTGTAAGTAACTCCAATAAATCCATTGATATACCAAACTGAACTTAGGTGGAGTCAGGCTTTGAGTTTCTAAGGGATACACTATGTGGAATGAATAGTCATTTCTTTATCCCCACCCCACCCCAGGAAAAGTCACACAACAATGAAGTTTGATGTTTAATCCATTTTTTTCCAGTCACTTCATTTTTAGGGTCAGTGATGAATTTAACGTATGTATAAAACATCTTTGATGCTTTAAAATGAATAACAATAATGTTAACAGTATTCACATTATGGGAACATGGAATTTCTTAGATAAGTTTAATGGTGTCCCCTCCACTTCTTTTTATGAGATTGTTTAAGAAGTACTGATGCTAGACTTCCTTAAAGATTTATTAGAATTCAATAGTGAATCCATTCAGCCCTGTCTTTCCTTTCCTCTTTTTCTTTTCTTTTCTTTTCTTTCTCTCTCTCTTTCTTTTTTTTCTTTTTCTTTTTCTTTTAGTCTTTCAAGACAGGTTTTCTCTGTAGCTTTTGGAGCCTGTCCTGAAACTTGCTGTGTAGACCAGGGACTGGCCTTGAACTCATAGAACTCCTCCTGTCTCTGCCTCTCAAGTGCTGGGATTAAAGACATGCACCAGTACCACCCAGCATCGCCTGACTTTCTATGTGGAAAGACTACAAAATCATTGCTTATTTTGCATTTCTTGAAGTTGTTCGTATTTCCTTGAATTCATGTTGGCAGGTCACATGGGTTCAGGAATATATCCATTTCTTTTAAGTTTTCTAACATTTTTTTAACAGTGCTAGGAATCAAATTTAGGGTTTTGAACATGCCAAACAAGCAGTCTACCATAGATCTACATCTCCAGTCCCAGTTTTCTAGCTTTTTAAAAATGTAAGGTAATAAAGTATCCCCTAAAGTCTCTCTGGATTTTATTAGAGTCTATTGTGAATTCAGAAATATATTGTTCAGTACCAAATATTTTTGTAACTTCTTTTATTATACCATTATCTGATAAAATGTAAGCAATTCGATCTTTGCTTTGTTCCTGAATAGTTTTAGATAAAGGCCCCTGTGCTGCTGAGATTAATGCGTAGTTTCTATTAGTTGGATGGAATACTTTGTAAGTATCTGTAAAATGCGACTGCTCTATGGTGTTATTTACTCACGCCATTTCTTTGTAGATTTTTAGTTTGAAATGTGTCTAAAGATAAGAGTATTGAAATTTCTCACTGACTGGATCTAATATTTGGTGCAAAAAATTGATAACATTCTAATATCCTTGACAAATTGTTCCTTCTATTAATGTGTAGTGATCTTTAGGTTGTCAAACCACATTTCCACTACTCACAGCCTGTTTTATATAAGGGATTTTTACCCATTCAGTTGAGTTTACACAGCCCAGGCCTTCTCTCCTGCACTTTCATGGTGAGAATACATGGCTGGCAGCTACAGTTAGTAGGAGTAGTACCACAACTGATTTCTGCTGGACCTGGCTCCTTCATTGTAGAGAAGTTTAGACTTTGCCTTTTTAGTTTTTTAGTCTTTCTTGTACATAAATAGGATTTATTATGCTTTTACCATAACATTTTTTTTTTTACTCACTGGCTCAGATATAGTGTTTAATCCACTATTTTATTTGTAAATTCTAATCCACCAATCTTACATAACTTAATGGAAAAGATATACACTGAACCATCAGTATACTACAAATAACAATATCAGTCTAAAATGGCACAAATATTATCTCATCACGCACATACATATAAGTATTTCACCCATTACGAAAGTTCACTCAAGAATGCGTGTTATTAAGAATGAGTATTTTGATGGCTTAAAAAATAAAATACCATTAACATAAAATATTAATGGCATTATCCCTTAACATTTAGCAATACAATCCTTTTCCTCAGCAAGCTCACTAGAAAGTTTATGAATATCTTTTCTGGAGTTTGGTTGGTTTTGATTTGAGAAAAGGTTATACTGTGTTGTTCAGGATGGTCAACTTGTTTCTTTGACTCAAGTCTCCCAAGTAGCATGGATTACAAGCACAACCAAACTAGCATTTATGGAAATATGAAGAAATGACTCTTGATGTCCAGATGGTCTTGGGACTTCAGCTTGTTGCCAGATCCTAGGCAAGTTTTCCCAGTGTGGTGGCATGTTGAATATTGTTCCTCTTGACAGAGCTAATGGGCGGCATTTCTGGTTAAAATCACCTGATAGAAACAAACAAGTGCTATGATATGGCAGTCATAAGCCAAAAATAATTATTTCACTCCAATTGAGAAAATATCTTCCCACATACTATAGAATAAGCAGGACCACATCTCTAAATAAACACCTCCTTCAGTCATCAAGTTTCTAGAAATACCAGCTTTTCAGAGGCACACTTTATGAATTTGAGTTTTACTAGTTCTTTGAGACTTTGATCACATCTATCCCTCCTCCCCTAATTATTCCCACACATACCCACACATTTATCCCTCCCCCAACTATTCCCATATTACCCGAATATTTATTGCCTCCCAGAACTATTCCCACACATTTTCTCTCCACCTGACTTTTTGTCTTTTCAAAAGCACCTCAAGACCAGCTTATGCTACTCAAGTAGTTTCGGATATGAGGTCTTCCGATGGATCATGGTCAACTTATCAGGGGCTCCAGTCCTAAAAGAAACCTGTCCTTTCCTCTCCCAGAAGCTAACAATTGCCAATAGTTCCAAGTAATAGAGATTAATACCCACATATTTTCAACTGCATAGTATTTGTAGTACTTAATAAAGATGCCAGTCCATAGGATATCCCAGTTTTCTTTCCTGTGAGCTAGAGCTAGACATTGAAAGTATTGTAGTGGGTTTACAAGAAGCTAATGGAGAAGATGGATTGGTTCTAGCTCTCTTTGATCTGGCAATAAGTGTGTATTTCCACATTTAGGTTAGTATTATCCCTGCTTTGTGCAGTATATCCATGCTTTTTTGGTAGGTATTTTAGGCAAAAAGACAGGCTAGACAGTTTGGTAGAAGTCACGAAAACTACTTACCTGTAATTATGGTGTGGAGGTCTATAAGGAATACCAAACATCAAGCCTGAAGGAAATCCAGGTACAAATGTCCCAAGATGTTTCTCAGAGTATAAGATGACATAATGTTGAGTGAAGTGGAGTTCAGAGATCCAGGGATATTTTAAAGAAAAAAGAGCAAGTATGAGTAAAAGTAATACATATTAGTCATTTTTAGACAGATTCTTATCATGCAACCTACACTGGGCTGTAGTCCTATTGCTTTGGTCTTTTTAGTGCTAAGATGACAGGAGTATACCACCAAGGTGAGCACTCATAGTATTCATATGAAAAGAGTATTTCAGCCACAGGTGACTTTTTACGAGGTATAAGCCTCAGTTTTCTTGGTAGGTTTGGTCTGATGAGGGGGCTGGGTTGAGACAGACAGACATCCCCAGATCCTTTATCCTAGGCAGTCATTGGCTTTGCCGCCAGAAAGCCTCACTGTACTCTAATGAATTCCTGATATTTTAAGGGGGGTTTGATGATTGTTTCTGCAATCTCTTCACCTTTTAGAGAATAGTTCCTGAATTGGCCATTGTCTTACCATAATTACAATATGTTTTCCATGCTACAGTTGCAGTCCTCTTCTCGGCTTGAATACAGTCAGGATACAGAGTAAAAAGCCAAAACATACAGCATGAAAAGGGGATACATACATATAAATAGGCATAGGTAGAAATGCAAAACCCCACAGAAGAGAACAAAGTGGGTTCATCTACTTGGCTGTCCTTGTCTAGAACTTTGTTCCAATTAGTGTATTCTTTATGTTTCTCTATATTCTCTCAAGCCATGGGTGAAGCTAGAAAAGTGGGAAGCAGCAGGATAGAATTGCACTTTCACTACAAGGAAACCTTCACTGTACTGAAGTGGTGAGAACTGTTCTAATTGAATCCTGAGGTAGAAGATGTGTAGGAGGAGCAAGTACAGAGACTTTATGTATGGCAGCATAAGTACTAGAGTTAATAAGACCATATTGTATTTAGTTTTTTATGAAATAAGTGGATTTTAGCTGCTTTCATCACAAAAAAGCAGGTATGCAAGATAATATATCTATTAATTCATCTTGCTGTAGAGATTTATTTATTATGTGAATGTCATAAAGCTCAGATACATGTATCAAAGAGCTGCTAGCTAGCACTGTACTAGGATAGTGAGTTCAAGACCACCCTGACTGATGAGATAATATCTCAGTACAAACACACAAAGAGCTGCTATGGTCATATAAGATACACAATCAAAAAATCTTCAGTGATCAGAGCATAAATGGCCAGAGAGGGAAGAGAAAACTTTCTGTGGTCACCAAAACAGACACACTGACAGCAAATTTAACAGGAGAAATCCTAGATTTAAAATCATTGTTTACTTGACAAAGTAGCTATGGATGCAGAAACTGAGGAAACCAAAACTAGAATGTGACAAAAATAAATATGACTGAACAGGAACGGAGTAAGAAGTTTTCCTAAATCGTAAACAGCAAGGACTGTTCTGTGGGAAGTCTGCTCTCATGATCAAAGCTGCCATGATTTGAAAAGCTATGATAACAGGGGAAAAAAACCAATTCTGTAACAAAGACAGCTGTAGTTTTGGGGATACAAAAAGGTATATGGTTTTTTTATGGAAGGAACTATAGCATACAGCATTCAAAGGTCAAGCTCATAACCAGAGCAGAGAGCCTTTGAAAGGCACGAGCAAGGAATGGCTTTTTACATTATCAAAGTAGATGCACATGAGAAAAGCATGAAAATGAAGAACTTATTTCTTGGCCAGAGATGGAAACTTTTTTCTCACCAACTTTGTTGAGCCTATGGAAGAGGAGAAGCAGGAAAAATTCCTTAAGGAGAGTGGATATAAACTGGGAAGATATGGTAATGGAAAACTTCTTGTTTTACCAATCAACTTTAGCTCATGATGAAATAGATTTGGAAGGCATTTCACAGCTACAACCCTGCACTGAATGACACAACATAGAAGTTGAGCATCACTTTCTTGTCAACAGCATCTATATCTAGGGAAAGACATAGTGATAGATGACTTATTCCAGTACTAAAGCAGCAACAGGGAGGATGTGACTGCAGAGAATGCACTTTATTGCCAGAGTAGTTGTGAGTTAGAAACATATAGGCATGGAAAATTATAACATAATTTTTAAAATCCGTATGAGTGAACAAGTCATGTTCTCTTTGCAACTAGAATTTTTAATGATTATACAAGACTGAGGATTGGATTCTATCTCTTATGGATACTCATTTTGAGTAATAAATTGATATGAAAAATGCACCAAGGAGCTGTGGTTAGTAAAGACATGAGATAGAAGGCTTATTTCCTAACAATACTATCTATGGTAGAAAATATAACATGCAGAATATATTTCATGGTGCAGATAGGAAAATGGTAGCTGCTTTTCATCACCAAATAGTTATTGCTGTGGTAAGGGAACATTCAAAAAATATGGCATTGAAAGATGTGGATATTGAAGATTTCCATAGGTATCAGAAAAATATATCTGGGAAAGACAAGAATATGGAGTAGATATTATTATTTGAAGTCAGCTATAACTTGAGAAGACATAAATATTGAAGATTGTTGTGCAGCCAAAATGAATACAGCCAAGGAAGACATATAAATACAATAATTCCTTCCTGACTAGAATAAATAATGATGGTGAAGATACAGAAATGGTAAACTTCCTTTGGAACCTACATGACGTGACCTCTTTGGAAGTGGCTGAGTTTAGAGATTTACTTCCTGGCCAGAGCAGATAAAAGCTGGCTACAGAACACTTTTTTAATGATCAAAGCAGAAAGAGCTGGAATAGTAAAATGCAGAGACTATCTTTCATGATTAATACAGCTCTTAATGTGGAAAACATCACATGGAAACCTTTTTCTTTAAAAATAGGGTAAAAAAGAGATGAAGGGGTCATGGAGATCAGACCAGCAATGCCTATGAAAAACATGACAGAGGAACCATTAAACACCAAACAGGTAATCATTATGTCCAAGGAAACTTTGTAATAGCAAAGACACACAGCTGAAATGTGTCTTTCATTGTTAGACCAGACAATGCAGGGAAAAACATGGAAATGAAAGATATCCTTCGGTCAACAATTTATAGTTGAAAAACATACAAAGCAGGAACAACTAGAAAATTCTATTCCTACACAGGAGTGTTAAGACAGAAAACTAGGAAACTGTCTGGCAGATACTGGAAAAATAATTTCACAGGAACCAAGAAAATGCTAACCAACAAAAAAGACCTGGTGATGGACCCCAAATAATCAGCTACCACAATTAGCCATATACACTAACCTCAGCATGGCCATGTATCTGGCATCTGCCTAACCTGAAGAGTGATCCAGATGTTCACCCACCTGTTTGGCCTAAAAGTCCCAGGTCTATTCTGGTTCTCATAGCTTGTCAACCAAATGAGCCAGGTAAGTGCTCCTGAACACAGCATGACCCTGCCCTTCATATTCCCAGGCATAGAAAACAGCAATCAGCACACTACCACAGCAGACTGAGAGACTCCTACAAAACTGACCCATCTTTATATGCCTATGATTAGCTGGTATCTTGCACTCTGCACACTAGACAATCAATGAGACTGATCCAGCATCTTGCTTTCCAACAAATAACCATCCACCATCATTGACCTCATTCACTAGGACAGAGACCTTGCTGTGGGCATAGGTCTTACACTTTCCATTCATGGAGAGTAATTCAGGCCCTGACCTACATACTGTCTGATGACCATAATAGAGTAGGTTTTAACCCTCCTCATGCTGAGACCATTTAGCAAAATTTCTCGTGTTCTAGTGAACACAGACAGTAAAATCATTTCCATTTTTGTTCACAAAATGAATTTTGCTCATTTAAGCCATGAGCAGTGAGTGCCACATGTCCACAGCTTCTCACAGTGCCATAGGCCCACCTCTCACAGATCCCCAAAATCCTGTGATCCATTCCAGCAAAGTGAGGATCCTAGAACTGCCTTCATAGGCCATGTTCCCATTCTCCCAGTCTAGATGGCTATGCACACCATGGGCACTAGACCAGCAAGGGGAGAGCTCTAGTCACGTACATGGCTTTCCCTGAACACAACACAAAGCAGAGCTGAGGAACCAGGTTCTGTAGGCCAGTCCAGTATGATGAGACCAGGACATATGATTGCAGGCCACCAGCACAGGGCAGGGCCTTTCCTTGGTGTCACAACATGTGCATCAGCCAAACCAGCTTTAAACCTGGTTCCTCTCATGCTCATGAATTTTCCCCTCAGTAGGCTGTGTTGAGACCCACAATTCCTCCTCCATCCCAAAACCCAGACAAATTTTCATCCTCCATGTACCCATCCTCACTAGGTGTCCCAGCTGGTATGGCATAGTTTTTGAACCTTACCATTGAGTTGGGGTATTTTGGTCCTCACTTTTCTCAAATTTGAATCATTTAAAATCAGCTGGGATCCTTTGGTTCCCAGTCAGACAGGCCTCAATCATTGTCTGAAGCTTTAACCTTAGTCATTTTATCCATATCCTCTCAGGATACCTGTCTATGGTCCAGGAACCTGTGCAACACCAAAGCCTCCTTTGTGACCCAAATAACAATCACCTGCATTGACCTGACTATCCCAGGACAGAGACCTTGCTGTGGGAATAGGCCTTACACTTTCCATTCACGGAGAACGACCCAGACCCTAACCTATCAACTATATGAAGACCATAAAACAGTGGGTTTCAACACTCCTCATGCTGCTACCCTTTAGCAAAATTTCTCGTGTTCTGGTGAACACAGAGAGTAAAATGATTTCCATTGGTACATCCTAACTGCAGTTTTGCTGCTGTTATGAATTGTCATGTAAATAGTCATTGCATTGCTTCAGATGGTCATTAGGAGGGTCGCTTCCCATAGGTTGAGAACATATCCCTAAGAAAATGTCTCTGTAGGATTTCAGAGCACCTAGCCATGTGAGGGTCAAGATCCCATGATTTCTCAATCATTCTCTTTGACACCAAGCTGATGTAGTTTGTACACCAACATAGTAAAGAGAGGGACCAATAAGCCAGTGTCTCCCTGACTACCTTAAACTCCTAGGCCAAGCTTGAATATTGAAGTCTGCATG